TGTGTGTGTGTGTGTGTGTGTGTGTGTGTGTGTGTGTGTGTGTGTGTGTGTGTCTCACCTCCTCAGATACCCTGTTATCCATGGCTCCCAACATGGAGTGCAGGGCCCCTACGGAGAACCCACAGATAGGTTGTGTTCAGTTTCACGCTCATAAATCCAGAAATACTTGAATACTTTGCCATGCACCTTTTTAGCTGTTTTAAGGGATTCTGACCAAAAAATAACAGCTTTTAGGATTTAAATTTGTGAAGTGACAAATTTTATTTTAACCAGTTTACACAGAAAATTATTTTACAGTTCGAGTCTGAACTGTCTTTTTAAACGTATTCTGCAAAGGTAAATTAGTTCAAATTAAAAAGTTTGGTTGTGTTAACCGGTCTAGTTTAAAACAAGAAGACCGTGAACTGCTCGACATGACTTGACTCACCTAGATTGTAGAGGATGCAGGCTTGCTCGTAGCTGATGTCATCGTGGGTGACTGTTTTTCCAGAGAAAATCTCCGTCCTGCACACAAACAAAAGATTAATTAAGCATTTATTACAGAGTATACTATTAAAATACAATAGAGCGAGTGTGTATACAAACACAAATGTTTTGTTAACAGTGAGGTTCATTTGAAAAATTAAACAGCAACTATATTAGACATACACCATCTTACAAATCATGTGCTCAAGAAACCACATAAAAGAAGTTCAATACGAGTGGATTTTCATCATTATTAACAAAAGGTTCATATCAGCAAATGAAAACACAGTTATCAGGGGTGTGTGTGTGTGTGTGTGTGTGTGTGACTACCATGAGATGGGTACGGCAGCCTCCTGGCCCGTTCCCATGGGCACTCGGCTCTGGACGTAATGTAGCTGGCCGAAGTACTTCCTCAGTGTGCTGCATCCCTCGAAGTCTCTCGTCACGTTCACCGCACTCTGTGAAACAAATCGACCATCATAACGTTATATTTGACAACACGTACAACTTAATAGTAACAACATATATTGAGACCAAACATGTAATTTATAGGAAAACATGAATAGTATATTCTGCATGTCTTCATACTTAACATGCATGAAATACACTGATCTCATATTGTATGTGTGTCTAATTTCCCCAAGCTTCGTCAGTCTCATTGTCATCAAACCCACGAAAAATAATCAGGATGTTTTTGTTCTGCATTCTTACAAAGGTTCATCATGTAAAGTAGCCTGAGCTAATTGCACAGAGCTGGCTGTAGCGTGTACCGCTACGTCCTGAAAAACCATCACCATCCGCGTGAAACACTAAGTTTTCATGGAGTCACGTTTAATCAGCTGTTCTTCACCGCTGCAGCTACAGAATCACGACGTCTGCAAACTCACTGTGACCCAACCACAGCATAGAATCCTTTCTTTACAGTAGTTTTAGTATTTAACGTTTAGAACGAATCAGTCTCTTAGTGGCGTTTCCTCTGGACTTGGATGGATGTGTGACCCGGCACACAAACAGTACAGAGAGTAAAACAAAGCACATATCACTTAGTGGTCAGATTGAGCTTTTAACTGCACTCATCTGCCATTAGAATGTCCCCCAGGAAATAAAACGAAACACAAACACACACACACACACACACACACACACACACACACACACGCCACTACATCAGAGTGGGTTCTGTAGTTGTGAAGCACTGGAGGAAGACTTCCTTCCACCTTCAGCAGATGGGGTGAGAGGTGGGGCGTTAAAGACAGAGAGACTTTATTTTGTCCCAAAAAGGACGAATAACTGGGTGTGTTGGTCGACGTGACACAATCAAATCCTCCAGAAGGCTCTGAACAGTTTACATCCACATCATCTAAACTACCAGTGTACCTAAACATCAAGTACTGGAGAGATGGCAGCACACCAAGAGAAAGCAGGCCCTGCCAGGTGATATTTAATATAAGAATCACAGCTTTCTGTCAGGTTCCCATAATGTCTTTGTCCTGTTCATCTTCGAGATTATTAATTCTGATATTTCCTTTGGTACTTTTTGACTCGTAGTGGTCATATGAGGGAGTGAACCGAGGCCTGGAACCAGGGAACTGTTGTTCTTCTTTGCTGTATTAAAAGTGATACATCTAATCAAAACATCTGGTGATGTTTCACACACAACCCACCTGCCGCAGAGTCTCCAGTTTCTTCAGCTGTTCGTTGTAGTTGTCTGGATTCTCTCCATAATTCTTCAAGATGAACTGGAGGAAAAGAGAGAAATCATTAAATAAATATGTTATGAAGGCTTTGGCTTTAGCAATACAATATCAGACATGCAGGAGAACCGTTAACAGTCACTTCAAATGTCTTTAAACCGTCCCTAATTCATCAATATGCTAATCTGTTGCCCTGAGCATGAGACTAGAGTTTGAATTTATAGCCTCTGGAGTTCTCCCATCATGCATTGTGAAGGCTTTCCTCGTCCCCTTGAGCACACTTTAATAAGCAAGCAAGCTGCTTAATGGAGGTGAGCAACCCTGCAGACGTTCTCGTATTTTACTGGTGCTTCTGTTTCTGTCTATAATGAAATCATGTTGCGCAGGAGAGTCACAGGCATCCTGGAAAGAAAGCACAATGACATAACAACAACAACACAGCCAGCCATTGTCCCGACTTCCACAAGACAAATATGAGCTATTCTGCCTTTTGTCCACGTAATCAAATGAAATGTAGCTAAATTAGGTATAATTTTAACTGATAATCGAGGCAGTTTGCCTGTAAGAAATGTATCATTAACCTCTTATATATTTGTTCAATACTACCTGTAGACCTCAGACATTAATATTGCGGATATAAGTCACTTCATCTTGACATTTGCAGACACAAGTGAAGCAGCATTATTAAATAAAGGTGTTGTGGGCAGTCTATTGCAAAATACCTCACAGGAGTATTACCAAGAGGAGTTACAGTAACCCAAGAGGGCAAAGATCTGGTATTTTATCTGCACCAGGAAGGTGCTGGGAAATGGTTGAGAAAGAAAAAGCAAGAAGGATTTGAATAATTGGCATTTTATTTCTTGTAAACATCACACACAGTTTGGCTTGGAAGTAGGATGAGCTTTTCACTGTGGTCACCTCTGTGAAACCCCTTTTTTAAACATCAGGTGGTTATATCATTATAATATGAAAACATACATCTCCTCTTGTCTTCTGTGTTCACTTTGTTGTCTTCCTTATTTTCTATTTTACACGACTCTTAATCACCTGCTTGCGTCAGACAGGTAACAGGTATAACTTAGCCACTACTTTACTTTATCTTGAAGGTGTTAACTCTGCTGTGACATGCAAATTATATTTTGTATTTGATAAGTCTTTCCTTTGGCAGGGATCTCTAGGTCACATTTCTGAAGAACCTGTCAGGTACACGTGACAATGAGATCACTGTTTATTATCCTCCATGTCGTCAGACGGACTGGGCCGAGAGGAACAAAGGCTCGTTACTTCGGCCTTTAACGCGTTAAATAGGTTTATTTACGAGTAGCGGTTAAGTTAGCCACTTTACTGGAGTGCTGACGCTACTTATTAACTTCGACGAGAGCTGCTAGCTTATTATTATTATTAGCTAGCGGGAAGCTAACGTTAGCAAAAGAAAGGCGGTGTTCGCTGGGAGATTTATTCAGATTCTTAGCTTGCTGGCCAGGTTAAGAAATATCCCGGCATGCAGTGTGTGTGTTTTTTTAACGGTGGCTAACGTGGGCTTCTTTATTGGGTTATCCAGTCGTCCATAATCCCTGTTTGGTTTAGTTTCGACCCCAGCCCTGTTGCTTCCATTTCCCCACCCCAGCTCACCTGCTTGATGGCCGGGCTGAACTGGAACTCCCCAGCCTCCTTCAGATCCAGCCAGATCATCGGCATCCGGGGAACCGCCTCCATCGCGGCACCGAGTCCTCACGCGACTGTCGGCCGTTACAGTGTCAAAACCCACGTCGGTAGTTTTGTGTACGTTGACGAAGAAGAAGCTTTCCGCCAAACAACTGTGTCATGTATCCAGTTACACTTCAACCGGAAGCTGGTTGCACGTGACGTAAACTCGCTATATCCGCCGTGTGGGTTTGTGGGAAATGTAGTCAGTCCTCTCCCATTTCTGCCCAAAGACTAGCCTATAGTTAGGGGAAATTGCCACAACATTTGTTCTGATTAATCTAAATTCTTGAAATCTAGTACGCACATACTTTGGCCAATTATCTAACAGTATAACAAGGAAACTTTTAGATAACGTGAAAAATTACACTTTTGTAACTAGATATAGTATGATAAGAAACAATCACTTTATAGACAAATAGTTTAACTGTTTTTTACATTTTATTTAGATTAGTTTAGTTTAAGACCAGAGAACATTTCCACCATGAACCTGCATGGTTGTATGTAGACATGGTGAACTCGTTGGAAAGCAGTTTGCTTACATTTGTATTTGTAGGAATAAATTATTTTGGCAGACACCAACATCCTTAAAGTCATGCTAAAATATGTTTTCATCAAATTGATGTCATGGGAAAATGTATTATTTTTATTTATTTCTCTTTCCAAAATCCTCCGTAGCCAATGCAATGGAGTCCGTATTAGCATATTAGCCCATATTTTTAGTTTAGTGGTTTCAAGAGGAACAATTTCTCATTCATACTCTCTCATATATCACTTTCACACTTCAGCTTTGTATGATACCCTGGAATGAGGACAAGAAGAAAATACAGTGTTCATGTTTGTTTATTCATCACGTATACATTTTCGTGCAGAGAAATGTCGGTTCAGGTAAAAATAAAAAGCATCATGAGCAGTAACAGCATCCAAGGCTACACAGACGCAGGAAGGAGCGATAAAAACTTAAAGCAATTCAACAAAACAATCAGTTTTTTTAGCAATAAACACACTGGAGACGTTTCGGCTGCTTGCAATCTGCAACCTCACTGCTGGATGCCGCCTAATGCTACACACTGCACCTTTAAATAACATAATTCAACCCACTTTCCCTTCAATGACTTCTGTCTATTTGAGTTTGCAGAACGCAGCTGAGTCTCCTCCAGCAGTGACTCCTAAAGCTGGGAATAGACCGATTCCAGCATAGAGAGGCTGAGTGAATATGGTCTTGACTCTGTGGAGGAGGGTCATGGTATCGGAGACGCTGTAGAAGGACAGATTTCCTGCACCATGATCCAGGTACACTCCTATTCTGGAGGACTGAGGACCTGGGATGGTAGTTGTGTTTTTGTTGTACATGAATTTGTATCCGCTGTCGTCAAAAACGATTGCCCAAGACATATCGTTGCCTCCGAATCCACGTCTGCTTGTAAAACCTCCTGTGTGCTTGAATGCAACTGCTACTTTAACTCCTTTCCCTTTGCACTCCACCTCCCAGTAATGAACCCCAGTCAGCCACTCTCTACTCAGGACCTGAGGCCAAGCAGGGAATCGGTCCGGGTGACTAGAATAAGACTGTGCTTCGGACACGTATGTTGCTTTTCTGTTCGCCTCAGACAATAACAGCTGTTTGTTTGCTGTGTTCGGATCCAGTGTGATGTCGCAGGAATATTTCAGGAATTCATCTCTGGTCTTGGGCTCCGGGTCTGGCAGTAAAACGTCCACTTTAGTCATTCCTAGTGAGATGTTGGTCCACTTCTCACGCAGAGCCTCCTCTAGTTCGTCTCTGACTTCTGACAAGGTCCCCGTTACGCCCTCGAAGTGCACCACAGGACTTTTATTTACTGCGGAGAAGTCTTTAAGTCTCCCGATTCGTGCCAGGGAGGGGTAGCAGCGCCGAAACTCGTTGTGATCCTTGGTGCGTGAGAGCTTCCTCAGCCCAGTGTCTTTCCTCTTCAACCAAGTAATCTTATGCTCCGTCTTCTCTTGAAGCTCTGCGATCTGACTCAACTTGCCGTTTAGCTGAGATCTGATCTCTCGCTTCACATCAGAGCTTCTTTTCTCCACGAGACGGATCAGCTCGGCGGAGATCTTCTCGCTCTCCTCCAATGCTTTATCTGCAGAGTGATTGACCATCTCCACCTCCTGTTGAAGCGCCTTCGCGTCCTTCTCTCGCTGCTGGATTCTGTGGCTGATGCGTTGTCGACTCAGCTTGATCTTATCCCGCCTCGTGGTCCTTTCTGCCATGGCGGTCGAGACTGTGGATTGACAGATACACTGCCGATCGGCGCAGCATAGCATCTTCATCACCTCCTCTTCACGAGAGCAGATGTTCTCCTGGAGCGTCCCGGAGGGGTCCAACAGCTGGTGTTTTTCAAAAGCAGGGGATTCATAATGAGGCTGGAGGTGTTGCTCACAGTAAGAGGCCAAACAGACCAGACAGGACTTGAAGGCCTTCAGCTTTCTCCCGGTGCAGACGTCACAGGCCACGTCTTCAGGTCCGGCATAGTAGCGATCAGCAGGAGCAGCTTGGACTCCAGTCTTCTTCAGCTCCTCCACCAAAACTGTTAACATGGTGTTCTTCAGCAGGACAGGCCTCGTTGTGAAGGTCTGCCTACACTGAGGGCAGCTGTGGATTTCATTGTCATCCTCTTCGTCAAAGTGGGATTCAATACAGTTCATGCAGTAACTGTGTCCACAGGGAACAGTCACCGGATCCTCCAGCAGATCCAGACAGATCGGACAACAGAAGGTTTCCCGTTTCAGCTGGACTTCTTTCAGCGCCATTACTCCTGGTGGCAGTGACTGTTTGGTATGAACAGAAACAAGTCTGTGCTCTGACTCAAATACAAATACTCAAAATGTTCCTGTTTATTTGCTAATCATCACTGAATGGGGCCCATCAGCTCCTGCCCTATCACATGGTGTGGTCACTCCCATCTTAACACTTGCAAATCAGTGAGGGGGAGGAAGCAAGGCGACACAGACACAGAGTGGAGAGTGGGAGGAACTGGGAGGGCTTTATTAGCATGACCGATCAGAATGATTGCCAAAGCAGCGATATGAAATAATCGGGAACATATCATCAATGATATCAAATACAATATAATAAAGGCAGTACGGCAATCTCAAGTTCTTTCTGTCAAACTTGAGAGAAGGTAAGCAGAAGGTGAGTTGTGGACCTGCAGCTCAAACCCTGAAAGTGGATCCTGACTTCTAACCCAATCTAAGAGGTCAAAGTTCAGGTATATTTTGGATTTTTTTATTCCTTGAATATCGTCTAAAGCCATAAAGCCCTTGATTCCTCCGTGTTGAACCAATGCTGGATGGTCAGCAGTCCCTTCTTTCAATGAACTTCTAATAAACACACTACAATGTGTATTACTGCCCCCAATAATCACTACCCTGTGCTTCCTGTTTAAATGAATTTAACTTTTAAACTCTGGATTATGTTTTACTTGACCTTTCGATAACCACATGAGTTGCTGAAACCACCTACACAAACACATTTCTCAGATTTAATGCTGTCGGCCGCGACAAAATGATATTTGGTATATTGTTGTGTGTAGTGTGGCCTTTAAATTATCTTGTTTTGAGAAAAAGGTGGATAGAAATCCAATCATGGATATCTTTTTAAATATTTGTTTATTTTTGTAAACTATGGTTCACAGCTAATCTCAGCAAGGTTGCAAAAGAAGGACTCATTCAGGAGTGGGTGAAAGAAAAGGGAGTCAATGTGCGGGTTTAGCGAGGACGTGAGAGAAACTAAACGACGGTACACGATTGAAACTCCAACAACAGTTCACCAGACCGATCACCCACTGTAAACCTAAAAAGCCCCCCCACTCCACCAACGACTCAATGAATTCAAGTCTTCTTTTAAAGACAATGGGACAATCCTGACGACTGTCTCTCACCTGGAGAGGGACGTTGAAAGGCTGTTCGTTTGCTTTGGAAATCTAAACGTATAGGCTGTGTGTATCATGCCAATAAAGCCCCATTGATCATAATATGAATAGAATTGAGCTGTTTGAGAGACAAAGCTTAAAACAGTTTTTATTTCGTTGTTCATTCTGCACTTATGCTTTCATGTTGTTAACTTTGTTTGATTTGTTGTGCTTGTTTGAATTTTTTGTTTTTTTAATCAAATAACCTGTTTTATGTTTGTTTTTCCTTTTCTTCTCATTTTTATATGAAGATAAAATACAGTTGATAACAGCCGAGGGTATATTCAACTAACTCTGTTGTGCACGTAAAATTACCCGTTATATAATACAGTAATAATAATAAAATGTAAACTAATTATGTCTTTTTCTTGACACCTATAGGGGACATAATGTAGAAGCAGGTTTAAAGTTGAGTTCTAAACTCATCTTTGAATAGCCAGCATGTTTATTCAATCAAAGTAATGGATTCATTAATTAGGAAAATTATCTTAAATTTAAAAAAAATACTGAAAATAATTCATATTCTCCTAAATAAATGAATAAATGCACTATGACCAACTCTGCACAGAAGCTTTTTGCTGTTTACGCCGACTGAAGTTGAAATCAGATTTTACCTTCAAAATAAACTTACTTCCTGGTAAACATATCATGACCATACATCTCTTATCATTATATTAAAGTAAAACCTGTAGGAAGGTTCAGATGAAAACAAAATAGACCTTTTCACTTAATATTAAGAGTTTTTTTTAGTGACACATACTGCATTATTTCCCCCAAAACACATTGTGACGCGGGTGTAGCTTTTATTTTATTTTGAAAAGTCAAACCGGAACACCCCCGGTCCACTTTACGTTTGTCGTGTCGCCGCCATTTTTAATCCTCAAATAATAAAAACAAAACAAAAAACACAAATGATAGGCTTATTTTGTTTTCGCGAAGAAGTTACATAAAGTTTAACAATTAGCTCAGGTTCACCAGAAATAGCTAAAAGATACTCTGCTGACATCGCCATTTTTAAAGGCAAGTATACCACGATAACTAGACGGTAGTATAAGTGTGATAACATGCTTCCTCTCTACTTTAACCTCGTTGTTTATTGGTAAACATCCGAGCGGAGCCGTCGTCCCTGATGTTTTTGACGGATGTGGAAATATCTCATCTGATAGCCGCAACTTCCACCGGAACAAACCGGACTTTAGAGGGTGTCAACACATGTAACGCGGAGCTGTCTTCTTCGTATGTTTTACGTTATAGCGCGTTCTGCATAATAACGATAAGCCACGTGGAGCAGAGTCAAGCTTTCATTTCTGTGTGTTTTTATTAAGCAAATCAATTCTAACACTTTTTAATAAATAATGCATGGACGAGCTACTACAATGCATCACGTTTAGTTTGAACATTGTTTGTGTGTACTTGCTTAATATTCCCCTTGGTTATTGTGGATTTTTTAATATTCTTTACTGTTTTATTACTTATTTATTATACTTGTTTTTTTTACTATGTCTCTTGTTTGCACTATCCACTATGCTGCTGTAATCCTGTAAATAAAGGATTATCTTATTGTATCTTACCTTGTTTACTCACTCACCACTATAATTACTCACATGTTACACTAACAACAGTAAAAACACGATTACAAAGGTGGGACGTAAAAGTACTTTCTCAAGTACTATCAGTATAATTTTAAGGTTTTAGTACTTTACTTAAATTAGTCCTTTATGTGCTGCTTTATAATTCTGCTCTACTGTATTTCAGAGGGAAAATACTGTACTTTTCATGAATTTATCAGCTGTAGTTACTCGTCACTTTGAGACACAGTTTTTGTATATAAAACCTATGATGATCTTATATAATACAATACATTGCTTTAACAGGGCCTCTACCTTAACCAGCTGCAAGATAAAATGCCGCTTCAAAGTAATAAATATCCAATAGTGTCAGATATAGCTAATAATCTAATACTGACAGGAACCTTTTTTTTTTGCAGAATATTCTCATGTCTTCAAATTGGTTATTTTGTCCCCCAAAAAAGTTAAAATACATTTACAGTGATATCGAAACAGAGAAATCCTCATGTCTGAGAAGTTGTAAAAGAGTAAATTGTTTGTATGTTTGCTTGTCTTGGCGCTTCAGTAAACAGTCCGACGTCAAACGTTTTCCCATAAAACTGGATGAAGATATTGGAACATTTGTGATGATCTTCTCATATGCAACATATTGGCTCAACAAACATAAGACAAGCCATCATTTAAATACTGTGTATCCTGGATATTATTATTTCCCACTAAAGCAACAATACAGTCACACTCTCATGTTTCTCCTACCTGTCAGCAGATGTCGCTGGTGTATCTCGGGCAGCAGCTGCTGGAGGCGGTGCGAGGTGGACAGGATGATGATGTCAAAGCCCTGATGGCCAATGGGGCTCCGTTCACTACGGACTGGGTGAGGCTGATATGCGTTAATTACAGAATAATCTTTCAGGCTAATCCGTAATAACATGAGTGTGAACCCTCACCTGCTGCCAAGAAACAGAAATTGTCAGCTCTTGGTGTCGTTTCGGACTAAGTCACCCTGCAGTGGCAGAGCGACAGTGATGCTGAGGCGTCATATTGAGCTCAAAGACAGGAAAAAGTAAAAGAAATATCAAGCAGACGCTTACTGAAGGAAAAACAATGACACTCAGATACTCCGTTCAGTCTGTACTCAGTCGTGTGCCTGCAAACGTACTTTCTCTCTGTTCACAGAAGGTAAAACAAACTGCATGTAGGTACAGGCCAACAACGTTACTGCAATTTGCATTTCTCAGTTACATGTACTACGCTGACTATACACTGCAAACATCATGCCACATATCTGTGACATCACACATCATGCCACATATCAATTTATTTCTTCTAATTAGCATTTTTTTGTTTATTCATTTGTTCTGCAGATTGATAGAATGATCGTCTCTCTGTACTTATTTATTGGAAGAGCCTGCAGGCACTTTCGTCTGACTCTTCTGATCACATCTACTGTATATATAACATTCATTTATAATTTACTGCTCACAGGCACCGCCGCGCGCATCACCAATGGAGTTCTAATGAATGTCCTCTTCCCTAATGCCACCTGTGTCTCTACTGTACAAGAACAGATTGAAGGTTTCTCAAAATGGATTGATTTTAAAGTGGAGTTCGGTCATTCGACTGTGACACTGTGTCACATGACTTAGTGGATTTATGCCACATGATGTCTGCATTTTTAAAATAAGGCGAGAAATAGCAGCCATTAATGAAATGGACCAGATCTGTCCCTCTTTTCCTCAGTAAAGCAGACTGCGTGAATGTAACAGATGATGATTTGAATGTCTATTACCTTGGAGTGTCAACGCTGGTGGATTAGCTGTCTTTTGTGCCGCAGTGTGTGACGCACACGAACGAGACTTTCAAGCCTTTGACAAACTCCTGCACCAGTAATAACTACACTGGAACAACTAATGCGAGACTTAGTTGACAGTTTGTGTTTACAGTAAATCTGACATGTCGTGAGCACTGGATCATTACTTGTGAAAGTCATGTAACAGCTTCTTTCTTTTGTTAGCATAATGTGTGGCTCTGGAGGATTCATCAAGTCTCAGAAAAGTACTGAATTCACATCATTTTGAGTAATCCTGGCTGTGTTTTAACCACAGTTTTTGTAACAGAAAGACTCGTGTTGTGGCGTTTGACAGACCAGGCAGGAAGTGTGTAGAAAGAAGCTATTGAGTTGCATTGTGAAGTGAACTTAACCTCTTAAAAAAGGACTAAATGTCATGATCTGTGGCCCTTTGCTGCATATATTTGAACCGTTTTCTCTGAAGAGTCCCCCAACTTTATTGTAGTACAATACTAAACCCTTGATCGGCTCACACAGCGGCAGCCTGGAAGTTGAAGTCAGAGAATTGAACTTCTGCCCCAGAGATGATTGAGACTGAGACTTTATCCCTCTTTAATGAACCTTGTCGAGTTTCCATTAAACACTGAGCCTTAGCTGCTGTTGAACTCAGATTCGTGTGTTTGAGCGACTGTGTGATTACAAACTTTGGGATTATTGGGTGAAAAACAAAAGCTTTATCATGAGTGAACTCGCCCTGGATAAAGTTAAATATAAATCCCCTCTCGCAGCTCCTTTACATCCCGTGTTCCCTCTCTCTCACTCTCTCCTCCTCTTCCTCCAGCTGGGCTCGTCGCCGCTGCATCTCGCAGCCCAGCACGGCCATCACTCCACCGCCGAGGTGCTGCTGCGTGCCGGGGTCAGCCGCGACGCCCGGACCAAAGTGGACAAGACCCCTCTTCACGTGGCTGCCTCGCAGGGTCACTCCACCATAGTGGGCCTGTTAGTGCAGGTGAGGAGAGACATGCTGCTGTGTTTTTGCCAAATTATTGTTTGAATATGTTTTAAAAAGTTGTTGTTTTTTACATTTTAATATTATATACATATAATATACATACTCAATTTGTTTTAAATGTGTCAGGAACTTTCCATGTGAACCAAAAAGCAATCAAACACAAAAAACATATGGAGCTTGTTTCAGAGACGTAAATGATATTTTTAAACCACGTTACACTGTTCTCAACATTGCTATCACTACACTGCATCTATCTGCCGAGTCACAGGCATCTTTTCTCATCTTTTCTGTCTCCCCTCTGTTTCTTTTGTTTCCTTGTCTCGCCACTGGGGGGCGCCGCACGTCCGTGCAGAACGGCGCCGACATCAACGCCAAAGACATGCTGAAGATGACTCCGCTGCACTGGGCGGCCCAGCGCGGCCACAGGGAGGTGGCCAAGCTCCTGCTGAGGTACGACGCGGACATCCACTGCCTCAGCAAGTTCGACAAGACGCCCTTCGACATAGCCATGGACGCCAGAAACACCGAGCTGATGATACTGCTACAGGTGGACGGATGGACGGAGGGAGGGAGGGAGGGGATGGGGATGGGGATGGGGTGGGAGAGGGAGAGATAGAGAGACAGAGACATACTGGGAGAGAGCGAGAGAGAGAGAGGGGAAGAGACATACTGGGAGAGAGAGAGACAGAGACATACTGGGGGAGAGAGAGAGAGAGCGAGACATACTGGGAGAGAGAGAGAGTGAGACATACTGAGAGAGAGAGACAGAGACATACTGGGAGAGAGAGAGAGAGAGAGAGAAAGAAAGAAAGAGAGAGAGACAGAGACATACTGGGAGAGAGAGAGAGAGAGAGACATGTGAGGAGTCAGACAGACACATGAAGGATGAATGAAGACAGATATAAATGGAGGACGAGAGAATGGAAAGTGAGAAGAGACGTGAAGATGATGAGGGTAAGGAGAGGAAGAAAGTGAAGAAGAAATGATGCAGTGGGAAATGAATAGGTGAACTGAGAGGGAAAAGGAAGGGTGAGGCATGCGGGGGGGAGGACAGAACAGCAGAGACGAGTGGACTCAGGTCATTTCTGTTTCACTTCAGTGGAAGGTTATAAAGGAAGGTAACAGGGGGAGGAGAGAGACGGACAGATAGATGAAGGAGGGTAAGACAAGGACAGACAGATGGATGAACGAGGGGCTTGTGAGAGAGGAAGGGAAGGTGGGGGGGAGAAAAGATGGACAGAGATCAGAAGAAAGGAGGGGGGGTTAGGAGAAATGGGGGAGCCGAGGAGATTAACAAAAAGACGAAATTTAAAGAAGAGAATAAGAAGACAAAGTGTGAGACTGCACAGTGCTCCTGTGATTTAAAATAAAATACGTTTGATGTTTTCTAAGTGCGGGAAAAAAAAAGCTCCAGTCGGACACTCACCGGCGTTGCTATGGTTTCAGTGGCCGTGCAGGCTCTCTCTCTGTCGGACGGCCATGTTGTTCTCACCGTAACACCGGCACGGAGACTCCATTTCACACAACATCGGGTTAGACGTCACAAAGAGTCCACACTGATAATTAAAATACCAGCGTTGAGGTGCAGGACTACTTTGAAAGTAGTGGGAACACTGTGTTTTGGGGAGAAATGTGATTATTTAAAGGCCAACACACTCTCCTCACCGAGGCCTCACGTAACACAGGTGAGTGTGTGCCTTTCAGGTGGAGCGTAGGAGGTTCTAGTTAGATAACTCCTCTCTTTGGACAGGCCTCTTCAACAAGGATACAGATAGCAGGGCCTCCGGCTGAAAGCAGCTGGTTGCGAGACGGCTGCGTACAGAAGGGCACTGACACATGTTGATGAAACACAAACACCCACAATCAGCCACAATGGGAAACTAAATAAATCAATATCGCTCTAAGTGAACGCTCTATTGAGAATGTTTTCACTGCTTTACCGTGCCGTCAAACAGCTTCCCCACGGGGAACTGAAGCTGTTATCTATTCTCTCTTCAAAGCTACCAGACAGCAGTCATTTTACCTCTCAGAACACGGGGGTTGCTGGTCTACCACCAGTACAGATACACCAAATACGGTATAATCACTGTTTTTGTCAAAGGAGTCTCGTGGCGTTGAAGAGAGCAGAGATGGATGCAACGGTGTCGGTTCGCTGTCGGAAAGAGCCGCCTGACGGCAAAGTAAAGCAGTGAAGATATTCTTCATCAGGTGGATGAAACACATTGTGCTGCTGCCACACTGTCCCTTTAATTCACTGCTGCCCTCTGATGAAATAAAGCACTTTGGAGAGATTGAAAGACACAGACACAGGGCCGTAAAATAACAACACGGTTTCTCTTTCTTATCGAGTCTGTGCAGATGAAAGGTCGACTGCAGATGGAATCACGTCGCCGCTACACTGAAAATGAATCATCAGGGGATGAACAATAAAACAAACTATTGGTTTTAAACCTCAGCCTACACATATTGCGGCCGTCATATTTCATCCACCGTTAACCACACGATGACCTCGGAAAGATTTTAGAAAACGAGAGAGTCGTACCATCAATGAAATGATTCTCAAGACGATCACAGATCAGATTCACCTTCTTTGGGGCGTTTGAACCCCAAAAAAAAGCCCTGTTTTCACTGAGACTTTCTAACAGAAGTGGTTAAAAGTGTCTGTTTCAGTCACAGAACACTGATGCTGTCTACTGTCTTATCTTGTGTGTAAACCTTTTTATCTTCGGTCAGATGAAACACTTGGAAGGATCCTATTTTATACATCACAGTGTTTTCAGTGTTTCATTCCATTCTGTGCCCGTTATCTGATTGGATTACACATTAATCTAACATGTAGTAATAGATCAGCAATTGTATTATGTGCCACTTTCTCCCTCAAAACTGCATTTAAATATCAATTAAAGGAGGAGGGAAGCATTACTGGGTCCATACAATCTAAATGTACAATTATTTAAAAAACAAAGCCAATTATTAACAGCAGCGCGGCTGAAACTCTCAGAGACGGTCAAAATGACTCTGCTTTTTTATAATCTTAACACGACCTGCAGTTCACGTTGGCCATCTCTGCGATAACTGTATATATAACTGGGGCTGTGCGGTCCGTGTACGCTTTGATAGTTTGTTTATTGGATTAAATCCAAAGACAAACAACTTTGTTAAGCTTATTTTCTGTAACCAGTGTAGCATGAAAGCAAGGTGGGATTAACAATCTAGCTAGCTAACGAGTGGACACTTCCTCGTCCTCTCATGTTGGACTGAGTGTTGTCAGTGTTGTGTTTACAGCTAGTTTCAGTTGCCCACAAATAGCCAAAAAAGTCAGTTATTGCAGGTTTAAGCACTTTCAACTTTTCTGTTTTGGGTTTGTGCAGAATTGTAGTTCTTGAATTTAGTCTTTTAACTGCAAACAGAGCTCAATATAACCGCAGCTCTTGTTGTGCGTGTGTGTGTGTGTCTCTGTCTGTGTGTGTGTGTGTGTGTGTGTGTTGTGTGTGTGTGTGTGTGCGCACAGGACGGCATGCAGAACCAGGTGAACGTCGAGCCAGAGTCCCACTACATCATCCGTGCTGGTGGGCTGGTCAAACTCGCAGAGCTGGTTGCCGCCACCAAGACCAGCGCAGGTAGGCCGCACACGTGATTATACCACCAGTTGTGTTTAGGTGCAGAGATAAAGTACAAGAATTAAGTGACAAAAATGATGAATAAACAGCAGATGGAAGCTCAGGAGACTTACTGTGTTGTCCCGAGAGACATATGATTGTATCTAAAACATCTGGACTGGACACCACCATCTACAGAACAGTTGTTAATTTAGGAATTTCGTTAACCATCCACGGAGTGTCTGAACAAGTCCTACGCGGCGGCTGTTCCCTAACAATACAAGCCTACCGTTGTCTGCAGGCAAGTCAGAGGACGCCATGGCTGCCGAGTCGGTGGAAACAACCATTCAGCATGTGGTGGGCGACGGCGGGCAGAGGGTCATCACCATCGTGACGGACCAACACGGCAACCTGCAGCCGGCGTCCCTGGGCCAGCAGCTCTTCTTCACCCTGCAGGGGCAACAGAGTGAGTGGGCAACTCAGCACTCTGGAATACTGATGAGGACCTAGCTGAGAATAGGGATGCATTGACGTCATAAATACAGATAGTTTCTATTTAAAAAAAAAAGCAGCAATATACCAAAATACAGCTAGTTAGAATATTACAACTCTGCAGACTTCATACACAGACACTGCTGCTAAGACAAGCTCAGAAAATCGCAAGACAGCATTGCCGTTTGTGCTTACTTGCATCTTAAATTCAAAATGTATTTAGGAGATGCAAGTAACTGAAGCCGTTATACATTCTCTCTTCAAAGCCTCAAGACTCCTTTGAAGTTTTATCTCTCAGAAGCTGCTGGTCTACCGCTGCACAGATCAATCAGTTTGTTTATTTTATTGTGTGACTTTGGTGTTTTAAAGGGTTAGTTCGGATTCACCAAACAAACTAACTGATAGAGGCAGAGGTAGACCAGCAGCTTCCGTGTTCTGCGAGGTGAAATTACTGTTTTTTGTCAATGGAGCCACATACAACAATCACACAGACATTGAGGAGTACACAGTCACTGTTACTTCTTACATTAGTAAGTGCATTGATGATGTGACTCATATAAAAACCATCATCACTCGGGCTAACCAGAAGCCATGGCTGACAGGGGAAGTGCATCGGCTGCTGAGGGCCAGAAACAACGCCTTCAGAGCCGGGGATGAAACTGGCCTGAGAAGAGCGAGAGCCGACCTGTCCCACGGCATCAGGAAAGCAAAATAGGAATACACGAATAAGATAACCAGTCACTTTAAAGTCAGCAGAGATACACGGAGCCTGTGGCAGGGCATTCAGACCCTTACGGACTACAAACCCGTGCCACAGATCTGCAACAGCGACATCTCTCTGCTAAACAACCTCAACAGCTTCTTTGCACGGTTTGAAACGCAAAACAGCACACGTCCACACAAGACTCCGCCCCCTCCCCACGATCAGGCTCTGTGCCTGTCTGCTGCCAGCGTGAAGAGGACACTCTCCACTATCAACACCCGCAAGGCAACAGGTCCAGACAACATCCCTGGTCGTGTGTTGAAGGACTGCGCAGAGGAGCTTAAGGATGTCTTCACAGATGTCTTTAATACTTCTCTGAGACAAGCTGTTGTACCATCATGCTTCAAGGCCACCATCATCATACCTGTGCCAAAGAAATCCACTCCGTCCTGCTTTAATGACTACCGTCCGGTGGCACTGGCCCCCATAATCATGAAGTGCTTTGAACGGCTAGTCATGTCACATATCAAATCCATTCTTCCCCCCACCCTGGACCCTTTCCAGTTTGCATACCGTGCCAAACGGTCCACGGAGGATGCAATCTGCTCTGCTCTCCACCCAGCCCTCACCCATCTGGACTCAAAAGACTCATATGTGAGAATGCTGTTCATAGACTTTAGTTCAGCATTCAACACCATAATCCCACAAAAACTCATCTTAAAACTTGACCAGCTGGGGCTCAACACCTCGCTGTGTAACTGGCTGCTGGACTTCCTCAGTGAGAGGCCACAAGCAGTACGTGTCGGCAACAACACCTCGAGCAGCATCACACTGAGCACAGAGGCCCCTCAAGGCTGTGTGCTCAGGCCACTGCTCTTCACCTTGCTGACACACGACTGCACCACAACCTACAGCACCAATCACATGGTCAAGTTTGCAGACGACACAACTCTGGTAGGTCTCATCACCAACGACGATGAGACCCACTATAGGAAGGAGGTCAGCCTTCTGACCACATGGTGCAGAGACAACAACCTCCTTCTGAATAACAGCAAGACCAAGGAGATTATTGTTGACTTCCGGAGAGGCCACACTCGACACCCACCACTGACCATCATTGGTGCTGATATAGAGAGAGTGAGCAGCACCAAATTCCTGGGGGTGGACATCAGTGAGGACCTCTCGTGGACAGCCAATACAACATCACTGGCAAAGAAAGCTCAGAGGCGCCTCTACTTTCTCCGCAAACTGAAGAAGGCAAGAACACCACCACCCATCATGTGCACCTTTTACCGAGGCACCATTGAGAGCATCCTGACAAACTGTATCTCTGTGTGGGGCGGAAGCTGCACTGACTACAACAGGAAAGCCCTGCAGCGCATAGTGAACACAGCTGGAAGGATCATTGGTGCCTCACTCCCCTCACTCCCCTCCCTGCAGGACATATACGACACTCGCCTCACCCGCAAAGTGACCATGATTGTGCGCGACTCCAGCCACCCCTCACACAGTCTCTTCAGCCTCCTGCCCTCTGGGAGAAGATACCGGAGCCTCCGTGCTCGCACCACCAGACTCTCAAACAGCTTCGTCCACCAGGCTGTTAGGAAGCTGAACTCGCTGAACTCTCTCCCTCCTCTCTTTAAGACTCCCCATGTCCAACTGCTGCTAAATACAGATTGATAGTTTTTTTGTTCTTTTTTCTCTTATTATATATATATTGTCTAAATGTTTTTTTAATCTATTGCACTGTATTCACTTTATATGTTTATATGTTGGACTAGAGAGAAACGTCTTTTCAACTCCCCTGTATGTCCAGTACATTGTGGAATTGACAATAAAGCAAACTTTGAACTTTGATGGAGTCTTGTGGCTTTGAAGAGAGAATAGATAGATGTAACTGCTTCAGTTCCCTTTCAGAAAGGGATGTCTGACGGCAAAGTAAAGCGGTTTGATTTCAAATACAGCTTTCACTTAAACTGATATTGATTTCTTAAGGTTGGCCTTTTATTAGGTGGCTAAAATAAGTACACTTATACATTTTGCCGCTGCCCCCGTGCCGGGGCATGCCAGACACCATCTACTGTAATTAAGGCTGCACAATTAATCGAATTTTAATCGCGATCACGATTTTGGCTGCCACGATTAAACGAGCATGATCGTCTGCGATATTGACGTTTAAAATGCGTGCTCTGCTACATATCAAATCAAGCGCTTTCTCAACTAACAGTCAGCCGACCACCAGGGGGCGAACGAGATGGGAGGTGTCATGCGCGCACCCTGCAGACTCCGGTATTAGTAGAAGAGTAGAGAGACAGACAACACAACAGACGGTCACGGGGGTCGTGTGAAAGCTAAATCTAATGTCAGGAGCAGAAGGCGAGGAGCTAGCCCCTCGACAAGGATCATCGTCCGTTGTCTGGAAGTTTTTTGGATTTAGGGAAAGTGATGTTAACCAAGAACAAATCATATGCGCAGAGTGCGTTAGAGTTGTGTCTGCGCCGCATAGCAATACAACTACCTTGTTCAACCACCTGAACAATCACCACAAACCACTACGATGAATGCATTAAGGCCAAAGCTAACGTTACCTCACTGAATCTCCGTCCATGCGACCCTGCACAGCGCCACAGCGTATCCATCCACCTCCCAAAGACACGCAGAAATAACGGATGCAATCGCATTTCATTTGGCCAAAGACGTGTGTCCAATAAATACTGTGAGCAACACACATTTAATTTTAGTTAGCCCTTTATTTTGGGTAAAAATGTTATTTATATTTTGCTTCAGGTGTATAAGAACCGTATAAGTTCTATTTTGATGTAAAGACGTGTACATTAGCTGGAATGTAGCACAACATGGAAGTGGAAGCAGTGTTCTTGTTCATTTAAACGTGAAAGTGCAATAAAAAGATGTTAACCCTAAAATTAATGAATAATCGTGATAAATAATCGTGATTGCAATATTGATCAAAATAATCACGATTATGATTTTGGCCATAATCGTGCAGCCCTAACTGTAATACACTGACTGTGGATAACAACCTCATACAACTCCACTTCAAAAAAATCTGAACTATCCCTTTAAGTTGTTTATTGTGAGAACAGGTAGGTGGGTGTTGCCAAATCAAAGATGGAAAGTATAACAGAAAGATTTCTTACAGGATCAAGACTTTTTGTCTGAAACGAAAAGAAAAATAGAAAATCTAATTATACACTGACTGTTCATATGATGTTTGTGGTTGCAGTGGTGGCTTTGCCAGCAGGCGCAATCACAGAGGAGGTGGTGGTGGAGGAGCCTCAGCAGGCCACGCCCACACGCAAGAGGAAGACTGACCCCGCAGCCAATCACATCAGCCTAACAGACAAGGTAAGCCAGGAGGACTTAGGTACACATCAGCTGTTTGAACCTTTTATGTACTGGGATTATTATACGACTCATTTACGGCGTAACTTTATCTAATTACTGTCTGGAAGTTCAGCTGAAAGGTCCCATACATCCGACTCAGTTCTTAAATACTTCAGCCACAGCTTGTCATTCAAAGTAATGAAACCCAAATGTAGTGGAACATCGTACTACATTGGTATTTTAAATTCCCACACAACCAACTCTGCTATCTTACAACATCTTGAGTTGTCAGATACGTTTATATTTATGTTAGTTAGTCATAAACCTGTGAAGAGTTCCTGTCTTAACTACATATGAACATGGCTTATAAGTTGAGAGCTTCCATTATGGCAAAATATCATTTTGTCTCTGGTTGAAGCTCATTGAAATCAACATTAAAACAGTTTTACACATATTACTTAGGAGCTAGTCCTATAATATCATGCACATAAACAGAGCCACTGTGGACAATTACCTGTTTACTTTTTGTTTGTTGTAAAGATAAAAGAATGAGCGCATTTCAGTTCATTCAACTGTGGAAAATGTAATTTTGTTGGATGCTTTAACCGCTGATTTGTTTGTTTTAGTTCCAGAAGGTCAAAGAAAGCCGCGAGCAGCTGGAGCGCCAGCTGCAGGAAGCCAATCTTAAAGCCCAGGGCTACCAGCAGCAGCTCCTGCAGAAGGAGCAGGAGGCCGAGCAGTATCGTCTTCAACTGGAGCAGGCCATAGCCATCAGCAACAGCAGAATCAACAACGGCATCGACGCCGCGACGGACACCTTGAACGGCGGCGCCACAGTGAAGCAGGAGGAGGAGGAGGAGGAGGAGATGATGGTACAGGAGCAGGTAGAGACGACGGAGGAAGCTGGAACAACAGAGGTGGAAGAAGGGGAGAGGGAAGACGGGAAGCTGGAGGAAGAAGTCATCTGTGAACTTCCAGAAGATGCAATTCTTGCGAATGAGCGCGAGCTGGACGTGGAGGTCGATGCAACACACACGTCTTCCCCCGGTCGGCGAGGCCGAGGGAGAAGTAGAGGGAGAGGCAGAGGGGGACGCAGACACTAGCTGACGAGTTTTGTTCTAATCTATTTAATTCATTTTATCTCCTTTTGTAAAAAAAAAATGTGGAAGACTTTTGTAAAAATGTCCACGTTTTCATGCGGCACAAACTTTAGATCGACATCTCTTCACTGAGCCTCGAGAGGACATTCCGTCATCATCATGGACTCAGTTCTTCACTTATTTATCTCTTTGTGGTTCTTAGCTCCGGCTGCAATTTCATTATAGACTCCAAACTGAATGGTAGCTGAGCTAGGTGTAGTGCTAGCTAAAGAATTCATCTTTATACGTGTGTAAATTCATTCATTCTGTGTTGTATTGTGTAAACTTTTAAAAGTGCAATGTGTCAGATCTGGCCTAACAAGTAGGGGGCAGCATTTCACACGACTGGGTCCATACGATCTAAATTTATCATCATCAGTTAAAAAGCTAATCAATAACTAACAGCAGGATAACAATATTAGCTTTAGCTTTATATTAGCTCGGAGGACTGAGCGAAATATGACTCCTTTTCTTGTTTCGTCCACTTTGTTACGCACACGTTATAGTATTATTGACCGTCCCTCGCCGCAGCTCTACTTTTTCCGTTTCTGGGTTTCGTCTACGGACCACGGAAATACTTTTGAGACTATTGAGCAGCTCTACTTGTTCGTCCTCTCGTGTCGGACTGAGGAGAGACTGGACGCTACAGTGACTCACTGTCGCCTCTAGACGACTCTGACACAACGTCAACACTTTAACCTCTTCGGGTCCTGTTGATAATGTTAGGCTGATCTTACACGTTGCTCCTTTAAGTATTTTTTTGTGTTTACATTCTTATTTTTATAACAGGATTTGGGCCCTCAGACTGCGATGTGTCGCTCGGTGAACGTGCCTCAGTGGAGGTGCGCGGTACGTTCAGAGATAATCATGAAGCAATTACAGTAAGAGCACTTCATGCTCTCTCATCCAGGGTGACCTGCGATGAGCAGATAGGAGCTCAGTGTCGGCCACAAAGGACACTTCAGCAGAATGCACGGCCAGTTGACGGACAGACTTTTACCTTTTCTGGGAATCAAACCTGTGACCTTTATATATGGAGAGCAGCCGCCGTCCACTCAGTTCTTTTACTGTATAATGTTATGGGTTTGATATGAGTTAGAACGAGACGGATCTGAAGGGGACAACAGAACGGGGATGACAAATGACATTTTAATGTTAATTGCTTTCGACATGTTTACATGACAGTTTTCACAAATGTCTTTTGGGAGCAGCAGTAGTGCCGTTATCGACGAGAACAAATTAGCCAAGCCGGTTTTCGGGGGTTTTTGTGACAAAAAACATTTTGATTAAACGGCCTTCCTTAGTCTTTGTCCGCTGAGGTCCGCTCCTACACAGCGATCAATAACACGAGCTTGATTGTTTCTTTTGTCTTCCATTAATTATACAAGCCATCTTCTCATTATTGAAACTGTCAGGGGACATTTGTTTACGTGTTTACACTTAAGAGCTTTATTCATCAGAATATCTTATTTTTTGAAGTTTGTAAAAAGTAATTACTGTTTTTGTCATTGAGGCAATAAAAGGCAACCCAAAAAACAAAGTGTACTTTTGTGCTCATTAAACTGTGTTGAGTGATTTTGTGGTTGTTTTAATTAGAGAGACACGTTTGGGAAATAAAAATGAGAAGAAATGGTATTTAATAATTTAAATGGTTTTATATCTGGACTATTTAAAACAATAAAACATTTTATACATTTCAATAAAATGCTCTCTTAATGTTCTTGTATCTTCAATTCCCAACACTTACTAGTTATTATATGCGTGTGGAGTTATAATTTATGTAAATGTTCCATTTGGTTTCTGTACCACAGCCATTAGAAGCATTTATCCTCCAGCTGCTCTCCTCAAGCTCTCCAACGGTCACCAGTAAATGACTGTCATTATACTGGGCAGCTCCCAGCGGCCAACAGCCGGACGCTGTGATGACAAACCTCGTTGCACTCAGCCGTCTTAGTAAACCCTTGAGATGTGAGCACAGAATGGCTCAGCGGGGAGGAGGGATGAGGGAGGGGGGGTGTCTGCTTTTTGATCATGAGTTCTTGCACAGCTGTCTTCCTCTGATGTACTTTTAGGGGCTGAAGCAGATTGAGGCTGACATGAATTCTTGACAGACCAGTTCCAGACTTAAAACTAGACGGGAGCCCATCGCCCCCGTTTTATCCACCTCACACAGGCTTTGCCTGCAGTTTTCAGGACTGATCTCAAATTTTTTGCCCTCGAAGCGCTTCGTGTCCGGGACTCCTTTCAGAGCTTTGAAGGCTGTGTGAGCACTGTGACAGCCTGAGATCACCTGGCGGGGGCCCTCTGGCTGTCCTGGAGGAGAGGCCCGGAGTGACAGCGCTTCATCTGTCGGGGCCTCGAGGCTCGGAACAGTCCGCCTGAGGAGAATGGCTTTATTATAACTGTCATCTTTAGAATCCCGTTTTTAAAATGCAGTCATGTCTGGTTTACGGTTTTATCTTCTTTGTTTTTTTTTTTTATTGAAGAGCTTTAAAACATATACAATCCAATAGAATCGATTTAAACCTGTGAGGCTATCACTGTTTAGCTTCGGGAATGCCAATGTTGATCCGTCTGACCACCACTGAAATATCTCAAAAACTACAGGATGGATCGCCAAGAAATTTAGTTTAGACATTCATGGTCCTCAGAGGGTCAATCTCGCTGACTGTGGTGATCCTCTGACTTTTCCTGTAACACCACCCCAAGGTTACATAAGTTGGATGGCTTGAGATTCATGGACCTGCAGCCCCACAGTTTTAGACGTACGCATGCGTAATGTTATTAAGCTAACGTAAGCTTGCTACCTTTTGCTTTTCAGGTGTGCAGCGTGTCTTTGGCCTACATTCAGTCAATCGATATATGTTTATATTTTAAAAAAATCTACATTGAATACATTATACACAAATTGTATTTGATAAAAGACGGAATACAAGATAGAAAGATAAAAACGTGGATAATTATTTTGATAATGTTGGCAGCCATGATAGAGTTTAGTAATCTCCGTCCAGACATCTTAAACTGTGGGTACATGCGTCTAAAACTAAATCTGGAATTCAGGCACGCTTATATCTAAAACTGTGAGTCTAGAACTCAGGCATGCTTACATCTAAAACTGTG